TGTCAAAGCACAACCACTGTTTATAAAAATGGGGGTTGAATTCTTTAAAACTAATGCTACTGATAAATGAATGAACTCTGCAGCACAATGAAATTAGATCACCAACAATAGCACGGTCAAACATCTGTGGCGCAACTTATTGCCAAATATTTCCTAAATTTGGAACATAGACTCTCCAGCTTTTGCACAAAGACTTGTTGTATCAATTTGTCAGAATAGATATATATATTTTTGTAAACATCTGTTAGCTGTATTCTAGAAAATACCTTATACAAATAAAAAATCTAAGAGGGTGCTTTCTACAGATATTGGAAGGCTTACAGCAGGAGGAAATATGTGAGGCTGTGTGGTGGAATTAGGCTCTCGTCACAATAATCAAAGTGAAGAAACTTGCATTTTTCCGCAGGTTTGTGAATTTTTATCAAATTTTCGTTTTTTGGCTGAACACCTTTTATGCCCATTAAAGAACTCATTTCTTTATGGATTTTTCTGAAAAATTATTAAATTCACAAAAAATGTAAATTTTCAGTTACCACGGACTCTTAATTTAAGGAAATAAATATTCTTTGGTGGCCGTTTTCTCACAAATTTTTCCTCTGAAAACAGGTGACCCCCACCTCCTTTATTTGCAAATATCTCGACTTGTATTTAAGATAAATGGACATTTTTTCATCAAAATAAAGACGAGTGAACAAGCTTTTAGATCATACCAATAACTCTACATTCCTCAAAATTGATGAGAGCCTGATTCCACCTCGCTGCCTCACAAATCGCTTTTAAAAGCAAGTCTGTCATGTTTTTCTAATCGTGACACTATTTTTATTGAACGCATGTTTTGAGAACCTTTAGTGCAAAAAATGTGTTCACAATAAAATTAGCTTCTTGTAATAAGTTTTGCCAATAAAAAGTGACTTTGGTGAGCTGTGACGTGGTCCATATGTGTATGCAAAATGTGTGTGAGAACCTGGAAGTGCTGAGAACAATCCCATTTTCCGTATAACGGAGATTTACAGCATTTTATACAAATTTGTGAAGAAAAGTTTTTAAAATCTAGTCTCAATTGTTGTGGAAAAATATTATTAAGTTAAGATAAATTGAAACAAACTGCTGTGCAAAGTATGGATGACAGTGATTAACCCGTTAAAGAGATATTTGAGGAAAAGTTGCGCCACAAACTTTTGACCGCACTGTAGTGAATCACAAGGAGGAAAAAGTTGGTAAAATAATGTCCTATGACAGGTGGGTTTACCTCAAATCTGTCACAGGTTTTATCCTAATTTTAAAACTAACACATCAAAAGCTTCATTTTTTACATCTCATTCGTAGAGAAAAACAATTATCATAAACTTTCTTTTTTAATGTTTCACACCCCCCATGACACAATAATTCAGGAAGACAGCTACTTTTCTTTAAGTATTTTAACAGTCATATTTGAATGTTGAGTGTTGCTCTGCAAAAGCAGTATTTCCATATTCTTTGTACAAAACTAAAGGTATCATTCTTTCTTTTGGCAGAAAACCTTAAGTTCTTTAGGAAAAACTTAATTAGTTACAGAACCCCTACCAACATCAATGTTAAGAACACATTGCAGCTTTATTTCCAAAGACTTTAACTTCATAATAGATGCACTACTTTCATACTGAGGCAAACTGAAAAAATGATCAAGTACAGCTTGAACATTTAGATGAATTATAAGAATAAAGGCAAGCAAAAAGTGTTCAAAGAATTACTCATTATGCTACTGTGCTTTACAAGGAAAGCGCATCAAATGGCTATGTCTTCTTGCTTCTCATGGTGTATCGTCCAGGAAAGCGTAACAGAAACTAAGTAAACAGCATGAACTTTCCAAAGACTTACCTCTCTTGGTTCCACGCATATCATCACGTCCTCTGGATTAAAGCCATGTAGTTTAGACTGGCTTTCAAAAGCATACTGTGATAGGGAATAAAAACATAATGAAATGAGGGAAAGATAAATAAACACCAGGGTGCATGGAAACTGAAAGCAAAGGATTCATTGGTTCAGCATTAACAAAGGAGCACAAAGATGATGCTTTTTTATACAACTACTATAACCACAACTGCTGCTGCTATGACTCCTCCTCCTCCTACTATGGCCACCACCATTATTACTTCTACCACCACCATCACCACCACCACTACTACTACCACTACCACAACAACTGCTGCTACGAATATAATCACTATCACAGCTACTACTTGTACTAGTGTGCATCACTATGACACATATCTCTACCCAATGTAGCTTCAGTGCGGTTGACAATCTAAAAACCCGGAATATTCATAACTTCCTGGGAAGCAATGGTGTAAGCGATTGATGTAGGTGATAAAATACTTGCTGACACAGCAGCTAAGGAACAAATGTGTAACGACGCGGTGGCTGACACAGCAGCTAAGGAACAAATGTG